CGAACTTTGTGATCAAGGACGAAACGGATTCAAACCCAGAATTCTAAACTTCACAAAAGAGTTTAGGAATTTATCTTTTTTGAACCGGTTAGATATGTTCTTGTAAAATTGGTTAGCAATAGTAGATTATCTAAAGATTACTCACTTAGATGCGTCTATGAAGTATATGATTAGCGATGCTATGCTAAGAATAAATACCAGTACAACCTGAAACAAGATAAAGGATAAAGAAATAAATTGTTGTTCTCAGGTACTACATTTATATATCACTAATAATAACACCGTGGATGGAAAAGGTTATTAGAATTGAAGTCAATAAGGTAGCACACCTTCTCAGGCACGAATGACTAGTATGAAACATATTAGAAGCAGAGACAGGAGTTAAGAGGAGTAGAGTTTAGATTAAATTACTGTTTACAATTAAAATTTTTTAGAGAAATGTAAAGATTAGCTCAGTATAGGATATAGTGGAGGTGCATATTCAACCAATCTTAGGATCCTATGATGATGATGTGTGTTCTAGGTTTTCAGGAAATACCTGGATTGGGACGACAGGAAGGACTCAGAAACGATGCCATATGATGATAATGAATCATTAATAAAAATAGGTGATTCATTAGTAATTAAATGTAATAAAACTCCAATATTTTGATACTTTCGCTTTGTAACATCCTTAATTAGATGTAAATGCAAATTATTAAAATAGAATAAGAAGAGGGCTGCAACCCATTGACCTTTTAAACCAACCCGCTGTGTAAGAGCCGCAGATAAAAATGCGGCCCAATAACTATGACTTCAACAGCAAAAGTTCTATTGTAGTATTAGTAAGAGTAAAATATCTAAAATAAAGAATTGTATTATAAAAAAGTCATACAAGCCCGTTGTTCATTAATTTGGATTGAAAAGCTTTCGAAGCATTTGCCGAAACGAGTTGACCTAGATTTTTTAAGCGGAAAATTCAAGATCACTGTTCACTCTTGTGTATGTAAAACCCAGAATCAATAGCTTAAGAATCTATCAAGAATTCTTATTCTTTTTCGTGAGCATGACGTCAACAAGCTCTGCTCCTGTGGATAGGACACGACTTTCTGACGACTTACGACCATTTGAAATTTCTGAGATTAGACCCAAAGACTGGGATTTTCTTGTCGTTATAGGGGGTTGTTATTGCATAAAGCATAGACTGTATAAAATGGCATATACTACTTATCAACTTTTTATACAATTTTTTACCATTATTATTGAATTTACTAGTTAAGAATTTCTGTTGACCTGATTTTAGAGATGTTATACGTACTTGTACGTATCTCCAGTAAAAACCACGTTAAATGACAATAACTTATACGCTGTTAAAAACTTAAGAAATGTTTAGTAGCGGAGATTAATTAGAAACACTAAAAATAAATTGACCAGATTTCTAGAATCTCTAATGTTTAGCAAACCTATGTACTTTCACGCAATTGTTTATTATCATTGTCTTGGTAAAATAAATAACCCTAATTGATTTAAAGTAAGTACAGAAAACTATTTTAAAAAATTTTTTGGAACATTTATAAACCGTTCATCCGAAACAACTTGAAAAGAATGAAATTTTGCAATCCATTTTGTATCTGTACTGTTTAACAATAACAAAGGAAAACCATTCCGGGTGTTGGAGCGTTGAATAAAGAAAATGTCGTTGTTTTTATGAAGTGGCATTTAATTATATAACAACTTCCTGTAGATGAGGTTTTCCAATTATTAATTTTTAGAAAAAAAACTTCAGTTTTTCTTTCATTTGAAATCGTCTCCTGTTTGGAGTTAATAAATGAAACTACTTGGTAATGGAAAAAGAAAGAAATTGTGGATTAAAACTGAGCAGTAATGTACATAATATTCTCTTATTCAGGAAGAGGTTAAATTAAAGCCGGTACTTTAGGACGTATACGGATTTTTAAATCCTTGACATAAGCGTACGAGTCGTATTCTCAAGTAAACAAGACAACAGACACAGAACAATAGGGTAAGAGAAAGATTTTAGACTAAGTGCTTTGTAAGAAAACGGACCTCATTCCAAAGGTTTTTTAAAAGCTGTTTCGTACTTTAAAGTACCATATTACACCTACCTTTATAATTTACAAATGAACTAGTAGAACCATCTACATTCAGAAACGCCGACATTAAGATTTATTTAATGCATAATCTACCACTTAAAGTGAAAGTGGACAGAAATCAGTTTTGTTAACGATTGGTTTCATTACGTGAAAAATATTATATTCAGATCTCAAGAACAAATTTATTACCCTCTTAGTAGAAGAGTGAAGCGCAATAAGTATATTAATCAATACTAATGTTGACTTCCATCTACTGCCCCAGGATAAGCCAGAAAATCAATTTTGTATTCCCACTAGGAAAGTAGAGCATGATGAAATTAAGTTCAAGAGCGAATGAAAAATTACCGTGGCTCTGCCAACTGGCTTTTTAATAAATAAAAAAAATTAAAGCTTTCCATCAAGAGAAACCAAAAGTTCTGCAAAATAAGCAGGTACTTCATAATTACTGCGATGTCGGGCCATTTTTCGTCTCCAATGTTAGACCAATATTAGCCCTTTATTGACAGAAAATGTATTTAACTGTAAAAGAGGATTTTTAGCCATTTACTTACTCTTATAAAAAAGTAGACCATAAAAAATATGTTAAAGGCAAGGTCAATTTGCTGCGTTATGTTGTTGCTCCATTCTTGGCAACGTTCCACGCCGTCACTGAAACAATGCATGAAATAATTAATAAATTAGCAGGCACATAATTGCATGAAAATTTCTTAACAAGGATTTAATGTAAACCGAAAAACATAAACACAGCAGCTACTTATGAAATAAACAAAAAACATTTCAAAGGTTTCATCGAGTACGAAGTTCAACATTCTGGGTTTGTATATCTAACTACTCTTAGAACCCTGAAGATGACGTTTGTGATCAAGGACGAAACGGATTCGAACCCAGAATTCTAAACTTCACAAAAGAGTTTAGGAATTTATCTCTTTTGAACCGGTTAGATATGTTCTTGTAAAATTGGTTAACAATAGTAGATTATCTAAAGATTACTCACTTAGATGCGTCTATGAAGTATATGATTAGCGATGCTATGCTAAGAATAAATACCAGTACAACCTGAAACAAGATAAAGGATAAAGAAATAAATTGTTGTTCTCAGGTACTACATTTATATATCACTAATAATAACACCGTGGATGGAAAAGGTTATTAGAATTGAAGTCAATAAGGTAGCACACCTTCTCAGGCACGAATGACTAGTATGAAACATATTAGAAGCAGAGACAGGAGTTAAGAGGAGTAGAGTTTAGATTAAATTACTGTTTACAATTAAAATTTTTTAGAGAAATGTAAAGATTAGCTCAGTATAGGATATAGTGGAGGTGCATATTCAACCAATCTTAGGATCCTATGATGATGATGTGTGTTCTAGGTTTTCAGGAAATACCTGGATTGGGACGACAGGAAGGACTCAGAAACGATGCCATATGATGATAATGAATCATTAATAAAAATAGGTGATTCATTAGTAATTAAATGTAATAAAACAACAATATTTTGATACTTTCGCTTTGTAACATCCTTAATTGGATGCAAATGCAAATTATTAAAATAGAATAAGGNTTATTTATGGTAAAGACGATGGTATTTACAAATCTAATGTAATAAAATACCTGGAGTAAAATAAAAAAAACTGATAATAATAAATAGTATTTTTGGGTGCTCTTAAGGGTTTTCAATGGCCATTGCTACGGTTATAGGTGCTTTTAATTACCTACTGCAAACACAACTCATAACAGCAGTAATAATAAATAATCTTAATAATTTCAAGACGTCGGAAAACCAAATTGCTTGCATCATACAGGTGCGGGGCTGGCTGTGTATTGTATACTCAAAGAAAATAAAATCGTTCAAAATTTTATGCCCTACAGTCACATAAATTATTGTTCGAAATTAAATACTAATGTATTTCCTTGCATTAATGCGCTACTAAAGAAAAACGTACATTTCCGATTCGGTTCTCAATAAAAGAAGAGTCAATCAAACGGAAATTCCTTGTTGCTATCAGGAATAAAAGAAAAATTGTTACCAACCATTCCTTTATTTCTTTTTTAAGGAAAGAAAGATTGACAACTGTTTCTCTTGTATTGAAGAAACAATAGCAATCGTTGATTGTTTCAACGAAGTTTGGCAACTGTTTCTTGATGCAACAATCGAAGTTTGGCAACTGTTTCTTGATGCAACAATGAAAGATTGGTAACTGTTTCTTGTTGTAACAAAGAATAATTGGCAACTGTTTCTTGTTGCAACAATGAAAAATTGGCAACTGTTTCTTGTTGTAACAAGGAATGATTGGCAACTGTTTGTTGTTGCAACAATGAAAGATTGGCAACTGTATCTTATTGCACCAACAAAATATTGGCAACTATTGTAATTGTTAGTTATTCGATGTTTGTAAATTGAATTAAAAAATTGAAAAGGACAATATTAAATTCAGAATTTTCCAAAGAAATTCATTGTGCAAATACCCTACTTATAACAGAGGGTGTATTTATTAGATTTTAAACATAGCGAAATTTAACATAAGTTTCCCCTATTTTAAACGCTATTGACCGTTTATAACGAAAAACAGTAGATGTTAGAAGCATAATTACTGTATCTATATGTAAATCAATTTTTTTTTCACTAAAAGTAGCCAAAATCGATTTTGAAATAGTAAAGCGATGTAAACGGTTTAATATTTATATTACTTTAAACGAAAAAAAAAAAAAAGAATAATAAATTAACAATAAAAGACAGTGTGCTTAGGCGTGTATTAGTGTATATGTGTACCTCTTTCCATGCTCTCTCTTGTACTCGCCACAATACTTGGATCTAGTCCCTACGAGATCTATAATCTCCGGAATGCTACTAGCAAAAATTGCCTGCAAACAAATTATGCTGCTACTATTACTAAGTTTGTGTATTACGACTTCGAAAGCCAAAAAAAATGAACAAAAATTACCAACCAAAAATACCAGTTACAAAAACAAAACACTAAACCTTATCAGAACAATTTATTGATACACTTATGTAGTTGTCGCTCTTCTACTTCTATGAAATAAAGAATGACAACAATAAATAATTCTACGAACTATACTTCATTTACTTTCTGTAGCGATGTGCCCCTTCCAATGTCTTGGATGGACGTTGGCAAAATCGTAGGTAGAGAGAAAAAAGCTCATTACACTCTCGACTCATGTTCATTAAATATACTTTTCATACAGTACCTGCCAAAAGTTTTGTTCAATCATGTTAAAAAAACATTCGCGTCTAAAATATAAATTAGCGAATGTGGTGAAACTAATTTTTTAAAATTTTCATTATGTTGTCGTGCATTTTTAATAAATAATAATTGGGTATCCTTCATATGTGCTGGTAAAACTATTTTCACTACGCTAAAATAAAATTTAACGAGTTTTGATTAAATATATTAAGTCAAATAAACGTTTGATTTTTTATGTATAAAGAAAAAGCCATAGATTTTTTTCTTGATTAGAATCTACAAGAATGGGTTAGTTGTTTATTGTTAAAAAGATCTAAATAAAGGAATAAATAAGAAAAAATACAAAAAGCAAAATATTAAACTTTAAAACATCGTTATCAATACGGGTGTATTTAAAAAATACAAAAACAAAAACAAAAGTATTCAGTTTGCTTAATTGTTAAATTATTTTATGTCTCGCAGAAAAATTTCTATGACAATAAGATTTTTGCATAGAAAAATTCTCTATCACTTTTCGCAGAGTAAAGTTACATTCACACTGTTACAAATTTGGAGTTAAATTAGAATAATGGAGTAAGAATTAATTATGTTTGACATAAACTATCGTCTAATAAGCTGTAATATTTTAATATTTTTTAATATTTATAACTTTACAAATGTATTAATATGGCGGATGTTGGCCACCATATTGACTAACTGAACTGTTCAGTTTAAGAAAATGTAAAGGTTCAACTCCTTTTTACTTTCTTTACTTTTTACAGTTTGAAACATTGTTTTCCTTTCGATATTATAGATAATATTATTGTGTGCGTCGATTTATTTAAAAAATATAATTTATCAGATTATTAAATAAACAGTTCTGTTTCTAATATTATTCATTTATCAATTTGCAACAGCGTGCGTTATACTTTTTGAAAAAGTGACCCATAACAAACAATGTATAGATATTGAAAATATTTCACGCTTATTATTTTCTGGACGTGTCGAATGGGGTAGGCGGTATTTGACCCCGACTTACCTTTACCCTTTGTAGATCAATAGGATTCATAATGGTACCCTGGAAGAATTCTACGGTAGTAAAATGTCTCTTGAAAAGACCTTCCAGTTCAAGATCAGGCGGCTTCCTATACAACGAGATCGTTACCAAAAAAACGTTTAATTAAAATGATAGAAAAAAGGGAAAAATGAGAAGAGGTATGAGTTCTAGGTCCTTGAAACTTGCTGTCATTCCATCATGTCTGCAAATACCATGCAGCGAGCGAATAGGCACGCACCTGCTTAGGCACTTCTAAATATATAATTTAATTTTCAATGATCACTACGCAGTCACTATTACTTATTAATTTCG